ATACCGCTCTATCGCGATAGCGCATGTTGATGATATCATCAAGCTGCGCCTGTTTTGGTTGAAAGCATCGCAGCGGCTACAAGTGTTATCATCTGCAAATTATGCCTGGCGACAGTCATAGCAAAGAGATGAAGTACTTTTGAAATATGGGGAAAGCCAAAAACTGCGCTTCCTCCACTTCCGTAACATTGATTCATTAATGTTGAATTCTCTCGCAGCTGTTCTGTTCCCATGTTGTTGCAGTATATTAATAACTAACCTTGTATTGTGGATGAATAATCTCAGTTGTTGTCCTGACTGAAGTTTGGCCCGTGTATAGCATCCTGCTATGCGATTGCATTTGTCCCTGACCACCAGAATCCCTCACGTTAACTTTTATCGAGTGGAAAAAAAGTTGGCGTACATCCTTGTCAATGGAAAATTGTATTTAGTAGTCAGTATAATCTTTTAGTGATATAAGTTTGCATATGGTAGGATGCTGTTTGTAGTTATTTGGTAGTGACAGGATATGTGATTTTTAGCAGGCTTGGTTTACCCCCACATCCTTGGAGCATGGGAGAGGTCGTACCTTGTTTTATTGTTTTACGGCAGGATTAACGTAGCTATGTCTGTTTTAGTTTAAGTGCTTCTTTACATATAGATGAACTGCTGGACTTCCTCACCATGTTATCTAGGGTGAACCATCTAGGGTGAGGGGGAGGCTACCCTCTTCCTGACCAAGGATGTTTGACCCTTTGATCAGCAGTAACAGACACACACACACACACACACACACACACACACACACACACACACACACTGAAGTATAAATAAAGACCTGGGCAGTTTCTTAGTGCGAGTCATTGAGACTGCCCTTGCTAGCAAGAACTCTGTGTGTTTCTCTTCTCTGAGTCTTTACTGAAGAAGTGTTTTAGAATATTTTCCCTAACAATCCTCCAGCTTCACTGTGCTAATGTTATGCTAACATAGCTGTGTCGCTAGCAATCACGTAGCACAACATTATACACCAGCTAGTCCAACTTCAGTAACCCTGCAAACGTCACTGCTGTTTAGTTTTCTGTCTTCATTTATGTTGGAAGTGGTAGCAGAGCTGTATGTTTTAATTAGTTTCAAAAATCTCTCAGTCAGAACATGGTATGTCATGTTTAGGTGGAAACTAGCGAGCTAACTTCCTGTTAACTTCTAACTCCGTTAAATGTAATAAATTCTGTTTTCATGGATGCCTGGATGTTAAACTTAATTGTTGCACCTGGTAAAGCAGCAACACTGATGATTTTATTAAAGATGAAAGAATTTAGACCGTTTTTAACTCAGTGTCCGTTTGACTTTGGGACCTGAAGCGGATAGAGTTTTGGACTCAGATTACTCCGCGAAGCTCCTCACTACGGCAGCCGTAATGCTCCGACAATCCATCAAGCAGTGCGGCTTACCAAAGTTGTACTAAAACATTTTTAACAGATTTCTGCGCGCCCAAATTGGTTCGAGGTCAGTAAGCACAACCAGAATTCATACATAAGGTACACTCTCGATTTTTGAGAAAATTAAAGAATTTTAAGTGTGCCTTATAGTGTGGAAAATACGTTATAAAGAAGAAAATATATCGTGATATATATCGTTAGCGCACGTGCTTCAAATTATATCGCGATATGGATTTTAGGCCATATCTCTCAGCCCTAGTTTTGCGTTTGGGTTCTTCTCCTGCCTGCACACAGCCGAAACATGACACTCGGCCCTGCACTCTGATCTATATTAGGTAAGAATATGTTGATTTACTCGGTATTTGAAGGTTCAATTGAAAAAACCTTAATAGATTTTTTAAACAATGTGGGAGTCAAACAGTTGTGTCTGTCTGGTTGTTTTAAGAGATCACTAAAATATCATAGACTGAAACTGGTTTCCATCATATATAAGTTGGCTAAGTTGTCATTGGCTGAAACAGAAGGAGAGAAGTAATATTTCATAATATTTCATAAAACCTTCATACAAATTTTATCTTTCAGCCATGTTTAGATTATTTTACAGTTCTGCACTTTGTACATAATTTAATTTATGTTTTGTTGAATTTTAAGCTTCTTAAAATATACATTTAGAACGTCTTGATGCATTCTTAATCATCCAGGAAAGTAAATCTCCAAAAGCTGATTCTGTTCATCTGGACGTAGCGTTTTGTGGGAGAAATGTTTCGTCACTCATCCAGGTGACGTCTTCAGTCTCAGCTGACTGCAGGTTTCCCCAATCTTATAAACAGTACATTTGCATAATGACTGAAACCAGCCCACTGAAGGAACAATGGGCTGGGAGGTCAGTTCCTTAATCATAATTATGCAAATTCTCATGACCATTGATCAACGACCACTGACCAAAACCCACTGATCAAAGACCACAGATCAGTGGCCATGAGTACCATTCACAGAGAGTTGGGGAATGGCTGCAATCACTGTGATCTGTGGTCTTTGATCAGTGGGTTTTGGTCAGTGGTCGTTGATCAATGGTCAGGAGAATTTGCATAAATATATAAATATAAATATAAATACCTTGGAGTACACATTGACAATAAACTGGACTGGGCTAAAAACACCACAGCACTTTACAGGAAGGGCCAGAGTCGTCTCTATTTTTTGAGGCAACTGAGGTCCTTCAACATCTGCCAGAAAATGCTGAGGATTTTCTATGAGTCTGTTGTTTAGAACATTTGTAATGTAGAGCCAGCACCGCTAATTTGTTGTTCTCTGGATTGTTAATAAGCAAGTTCTGCATAAATAGTAATTAATGCTTATTTAAAGTGGGAGTGGTGTGTAACTGCATAATACACAGTGGGTAACTGTAAACTTCTGTATTCTTATACACACCTGACAGGTCAGCTGGTAGACGGATTCTAGTAGTGGTTAAATGGTTAAATGGTTTGTAATAAAGCAGCAGGTCTTTTAATTGTATCACAGGGTGAATTTGTGAAGGTGACATTTTACTGGACTTTATAATAAAAGTCTGGGGAATAATGTTTAAGTTATTAGTTTGTGTGTACTTGATTTATATGTCAATCTTTTCTTGTCTTATTTCAGATTCCAATAAAACACATCCTTTCCATAATGTAAAAAGATAAAAACTCTAAGTTTTTATCCAAGTCTTTAAATTCTCCTTGTTAAAAATACTATTCCATGCTCTCAGATTGGGATTTATTTGGTAGTTACCTGTATAACTAATTAATCTAATAATTAATATTTAATTAAAGAAGTTCAACAGGCTACTAGTAAAGTGTCTACATGTATCACTTTGATTTGTTGCTGACTTGCCTTTTATGTGCTTTTTACTGCACTGAAAATGAGTAAAAAGCAAATGTCCAAAACTCTGAAAGACCTTCAGAAACACATCTGGCTCCTTGGAAGGAAAATACACAGAAATAAGGTGAAGCTCAAGACTTTTGCACAGTACTGTATGCCTAAATGGGATGAGCCTCTGTCATGTGATTGGTTGATTTAATATTTTTATCACTGAGACATTAAAAATGTACCTAATAAAATGACCATAGAGAGTAACAACAAAAAAAACATACCAACAAAGTATTAAAACACCCAAACTGGCTTGAATATTTAGAGCTTGCAGTGGAGCGGCTCATGGTAACTGGATGCACACAGAGTTGGTCTGTAGCTGCTGTGTGAGGTGCTGATACCTTTGCCTGGTGGCTGAGCATTTCCCCCTCTGTTGTTGCTTTGTTAGCCTTGCAGTGCTTAAGGTGCTACAGTATCTGTGCCAGGGTTCAGGGGGCTACAAAGAACCCCCTTCAATATGAACCACATTAGTTTGTGCTTCTAACTGTATCACAAACTCTCCACTGCTGGAGTTGATGCCTTAAAGCAGAGCATGAGGATGTTGACAGATGATAACATCCTTATTATCTGAGAGATGCAGGGAAATGCTTCAGACGCTGCCTGTTTGCTCAGGCCGCATGTTTGTTCCTGCAGACGAGCAGACCGTGGAATAAAATCCACAGTGAACAAAGTGAGGCAGCAGTTTGCTGATTTCTGCCTTCTGTTAAATTGTGGGACTCCAACACGTTAGTCTGTGGCCCAGCTCATCTTTTCTTTCCAAAAGGCTTTCATAATTATCAGCCTAGTAGTTTGTCAACTTTCTCGCTGACAAAGTCTTTTGGAGTTTATTCTTATTTGAGTTTCCTTCACCCGAGCAGCACAGAAATGGCTCTGCTACACTCCACATCAGATTGGGTGGAGCAAGACACCAGTTAGTCATCCATCCAGCAGCAAACTAAAAGCAATGAACTTAAAATAAATTTTAAAAAGGTTAAATTTAATAAATAAATAAACAGTTTTCTTGATTAACTTAGAGATGTCTGACATTTTTATATTAGATAAAGCCTAATGTTTAATAATATGGGTATACAGATGATTCATTGTAACACAATATTTATCCTGTTTTTAGATAAAACACACATTTTTTTCACAGCTTTAGGTACTGATTATAAAAATTATTAGCAGGAATGGACCCAAACAGCAAGACTTGGAAGCAGAAGTGGGGTTTCAGCTTCATAGCTGGATTTACAGAATAACAACGTAACTAAGAAGGCACTGGGAACTTAACTGGTAAACATCAAACAGCTGGGACCCTAACACAGCTGGAGAGATGACAAAGAACAGTGGGAGACACAGACAATATAAACAGCAAGGGAGAGAGGACACGCCTGGGAAACGAGGCTGGAAATAATCATAAAATAAGTGATGAGACGGGAAACAAACTGAACATGATGCACACAAGAAGAGTGACTATCACAATAAAACAGGAAACAGACGGACCTGACACAGGAAGACATGAGAAACAAGCACAGATGAGACTGACTACACAGAAGGAAGACAGAGAGGAGACAGAGAAAAGATTAAGGAGACAAGAATGAAGACAGACAGCAAGAGAGGGAGACACACCGAGAGAAAAAGGGCGAGGGAGAAAGACACTGGACACGAAAAGGAACTGGCTTTAACTAAGCGTGGAACTTAGTACAAGGCAAACTCGGAACCATCTGGATTTAACAGACTCAAAAAAAAAAAATAGATTGTCTTAAAGCTCATTCTAGAAATAACTAACAGTTCCAGGCAAACACAAAATACAGCATCACTGACCCGGGACCATGACACTTAAATCCTCATGTGGGACTTAAATCTAAAAGGTGAGTGAGCTTTTGTCATGAAGGCCAATTTGGATCAACCGGCCAGATAAGATAACACTTGCAGAATCATAGACATTGTTTAAAACTGTTCTTAAAATACAATAATACATATAATATTTATTCATGTGATTCTATTACATGTGAGGTTTTACTTTGTTGTAATAAATTTTCTTTTGTGTGTGTTTGTGTATTTAATATCTGGCTTTATGTTTGACCCTTAGAGTCTTGTGCTTTAGCTTTTCTGTTATAACACTGTGTAAACTCTGTTCATTTAGTTAAACTTCGTATGCAGACAGCATGTGGAAACAGATTTTGTTTCCTTCACCTATCTCAGTGGAGCTGACACCTGCAGAGCAGACTGTGTTGTAGTGGACAGCTCCCAGGTGGGAATGAAAGAAACTGTTAACTGGGCTAGAAGACATGCAGGTGAAACACACACAGACACACAACATACCTTTCTTCAGTAACTTCCATAAATACACTCCAAGTGCCACAGTAGCAGCAATAATCATGACAGCCAGGAGAACCCAGGCCTCAGCAGGAAAGATGTACGGCTCTGTAAGAGACCAACAACAGAACGAGGTTTACATGATTATTCTGATCCAAAGTGAATAATCACTGAGTTCCAACAGGTCTGCTGTCATCAGGTTAAACAGCAAAGTCTACAGGAGTCATCAGCTACGTACCACAGGCCTTCAAGCTGGCTGTAGTTAAACCTTTACTTAAAAGCCAACTCTTGAGATTGATTACAGGCCAATCTCCAACCTTCCTTTCATATCAAACATCCTTGAAAGAGTAGTTGTCAAACAGCTAACAGATCATCTGCAGAGGTTTATTTGAAGAGTTTCAGTCAGGTTTCAGAGCTCAGCACAGAAACAGCTTTAGTGAAGGTTACAAATGATCTCCTTCATTACACATATTAAACAAATATGTACGACTGCTTTCTTTCTGGTCACTTTCTCTAAAATTAGAAACATGAAAATATTATCAGTTGATCCAGAACTCGGAGTACTGACAGGAACTGGGAGGACAGATCATGTCTCATCCTGAATAATGAGACTGAACAGAGGACGAGCTATGCTAATAAACAGACACATGCTGATCGGTCAGTATAAATCGCTGGCATGAAGTGATCGAGCCACCACTCGCTGTGGGCTGAGAGCTGGTTTAAGTTTATTTAGGCAGCAGGTTCTTTGTATAACAAGCAGACTGCAGAAAAGGCCTCAGGAGGTTTCCACAGGTCAGTGTCACTGTCAGTGCTGGATGGATGGGAACGTTTATCATAATAACTGTGCACGTGTAATATTAATACACATAATAATACAATAATGGTGTGGATTAAACGTGGAATCCAAGCAAGGAGTTGAATCTTTGGTATAAATTAAGAGCTTTTCTATTTTACAAAGTTACTCGTCAAATGAAAATATTACTTTTAATGTTGGACAAACTAATATGATAAAAAATAATATAGTTAGGTTTTCGAGTGTGCTGCTGACCTTTGACCTGCAGCTGAACATCTGTCAGTCTGGGTTCTTCTCCCGTCACTCTGATGGTGCAGGTGTAGTTGCCGCTGTCAAAGATGTGGGGTTTCCTCAGGGTGAGGCTGAAGTCTCCAGTCTGCAGAGCGTCAGTCTTCATGGATGTTCGGTCTCTGTAACGCTGGTTTTGATCTGTCAGCTCGTCGTCTTCCTGCTGACGCTGGTGGACGGTTGGAGGATTGAGGTCGTAGCGGCTCCACACCACTGTGGAGGGTCCAGACACAAACGGGATGTGACAGGGCAGCAGGGCTGACTCCGCCCCATCGTACACCTCCAGGGTGAGGACTTGGTGGGACACTGTGAGGACACAGAGACACATGAATCAGCTGTCTGTGTGACCTGTAGGTCACATGACCACCTGAGATTAGAAACTAGTTCTACAAGATTGTGTCTGTGTAAGAGTCACAAGGTAATGCTGCATTAATCATGACTCCAGTTGTTTTTGGTTATTAAATATCTGATTATTCACTTTAAATCATGTTGTTTATTCTGAATCTGGAAGTCTTAAGTCTGAGACCTGCAGATACACCAACAACAACTCAGGCAGCAATAATCTCAGAGAATAGAATAGAATAGAATAGAATAGAATAGAATAGAATAGAATAGAATAAAATCGAATCCCTGGCACAACTAGAAAACAAAACTTCAGGACAGCCCTGATCAGAGCTGCTGGTTTAAAGTGTTAAAGGCTGATAATCCTGTGTTTCCTGTGGGTGAGCTGCTGTCTTTAGTGCCTCTCTGTAGGTCAGACCTTTCACTGCTGTTCACACCTGAAGGCTGAGTGGACCTCCTGAGTTAGTTTTCAGGAGTGTGTGGGCACATTTATGAGTCTCTCAGTTCTGTAGATTAAACAGCAGCTGATCGACTGCTCACATCTTTGTCTTAGCATCTGACATATAAGCACAGCAGCTGTTTTTAAACATATGCATGTGCATTGTTCTTGTTCCTGGAGCAGCCTTTTAGTGTGATAACCTCTGACCTCTCGTAGTCTCAGCGGGTTTTTGGGTGTGTTGCTGACCTTTGACCTGCAGCTCTACTGCTGTCAGTGTCCGTTCATTTCCAAATGCAGTGATGGTGCAGGTGTAGGTGCCGCTGTCAGAGATGATGGGGTTCCTCAGAGTGAGGCTGAAGTCTCCGGTCCTCAGAGAGTCCGTCTTCATGGACGTTCTTTTCCTGTAACGCTGGTTTTGATCTGTCAGTTCATCTCCTGCATCATTACACTCGTGGACGATTGGAGGATCGAGGTCGTGGCGAGTCCACATCAGAGTGGGGTCAAAAGGTACAGAAGTGTCCTTGCAGATCAGCAGGACAGACTCCACCCCCTCATACACCTCCAGAGCCGAGGCATGCTGGGAAACTGAGGACACAGAGACAGAAACATGAACATGCTGTGAGTCTAAACCTGAACTCTGCATCAGTTCACTCAGAGACCTTTCAGAGTTTAGAGTCACACGAATCTGTGCTGATATAAAACATCAGCTACCTGAAGTCCTCAAATATAAATGAGATCCTCTGTTCTTAGATGTTATTGGACCTGAACTGAGAACATTACAGAGGACAGAATAAACCCAGCCCACACTGTCACGCTCTTTTACATCAGTTTGTTGCTGCTCTCTGTGGTCACACATAAAAACCGTCTCATACATGGCACCTATACAGACATGAAGAAATATAATGCAATTTGGCCTTTGAAGTGACTTTTTTGTTTGGGAGGATTTGTTTGTTGTTCGGTACAATGTTAAAATAAGTTCTTGAAAAAGTAAAACATGATTTAATATGAAGGCAATATGAGTAGAGAGCACAAACGTGCTGAGGGATTGGCTGTGTTAGTTAGTGAGAGCATCAAAAACGAATGTGTCCACTCATGTCTGGATTTTAATTTTGTTAAATATGAACAAAGCAGAAGCAGAAGATCTGCCACGTGTCTGATCAGAAAGAGAGGACCACTTTGTTCATTTAGTAATGAAAGTATGCTGTCCTTGCCTAGAGTTTCCCAGGTTTCACCAGCTAGACAGCGAGATAACGATGCTTCAATAACCAGATTTATTTTCCTTTTTGTGCTGATTTATTGAAGAATGTCCTCTGACCATTTCCATCTTTATATACAGGCTATGGTAGAATGTAGATTTTGCATTATTTGAGGGAAAATTGGTTTTAAATGGAAAATTTATATTTTAAACCCACCGACCCACCCACTTCTAAGTGCTTCTAAACTGAACTTTTCACAGTCAATCATCAGTTTGGCCAGGAGGTCTTATTACCTGGAATAAAACCCTGTGGTCGTTCATCTTCCTCCCAGGTCCTCTCAGCTCTTCTGCTTCGTGTTTTTATATCTCTGCTGTGATCACGGAGCCATGGAGGACATTATATTTCTGATGTTTCACCTTCAAAGGGGCGATGTCATCGAGGACAGATTTCCATGTACATATTGAAATGATCTAAGAGTCCCTGAGATCAGGGCTATGAGGGCAGAGTCAGCTAAGAAGCTGCTGCTGACTTTGAGTTTAGATGCTGAGATGGATGCAGGTTTGTGAGCAGGAAACAGAAGCAGGGAAGGAAGATAAGATCCTCGTGACCACAGACAAAAACATCAAGCATGTCAACATTACTCAGAGAGATGCCAGAGAGCAGCACACGCTCAGATCACTGCAGAGTTTCAGCTGCAGAAAAAAATGTTTTGGTGTCCACCAAAGGAGAATCAGCAGTACTGTGATTTTACTGCATTTTAATAAATGCACTTTCATTTAAGCTTAAATACATTTGAGTTTGTCAAAGGGCCAAAATAACAGGAACACAACCAGACTGGTGTAAATTCAGCTCACAGACTCTTTGTGTTGACTACATGCAGACCAGCTGTGCTCATATGTGCAGTTACAGCTCATTTAGAGGCAGGAATATCCTGCTATGTCCCTGTTAGGACCTGCTGCTTTGACTGCTCACCACTCAAACAGCTTCATGACATCAGCAGGAAGAGCAGATGTGGATCCACAGCAAACATGTACGTTGGTCACAATCAATGAAAGAAGCTCAGAAAGCTCTTCAGTAAAACCAGTGTTAGAAATGAAACACACAGCACAGCATGCTGGGTAATTACAAGGACTCCCATCAGGCACAGGGAGGCACGTCCCCCGAACTACTCATGCTGATTAACACAACACACACACGTTACATGCACTTCTCTCCACCACCACTAGATGTCTCCACACTCTGTGCTGACTCCAATGATCAGAGCTGCTGAGCCTGTTTGCAGACAGAGGAGGAGCTCCTGGTGATCCGTGTGGCACTAAAAAGCTCTGATAACGTCCATCCAGCAGCTGATAACAGGGACATTTGGTGCCATGTCAGAGCTGCACAGTCAATCATCCGTTTGGCTCTTTAGTTTGAAGAGTTCAAAGCAGCAGCAGAGAATCTAAAGTGTGTCACACAGCACCAAGTTTCCTTTGGTCACATATGAAATGTGAGTCCGAGCTTCAGCTACACAACAACACACAGCAGCTGATTGTAACATGAGCTCATCTGAAAGGCACCAAGAAGAATCCAGAGATTTGAAAGTTGCTGCTTTGGATTGTTAGTTTGATCTAGAGCTGGGCGATAGAACGATAACGATATGTATCGCGATATAACTTTTTCTCAATAGAAAAATTAAACTATTGCGATAGACCTCGCCGCTCTTGTCCTCTTAAAAAAAAAAAAAAAAAAAGAACAGCCAATCCAAATTAAGTAGCGCAGAGCCGAACCAATCACAGCCGCAGCGTCACGTCACGTGACTTGTTACGTACAGCACAAATGCCAAGCCGCACATGTGTATTTGTTTGGGAAGCAGCCAGCCACCGTACCGCCCGGGTAATGGAGGAAATGAGTGTGCCGACTAGAAAATCAACCGAGCGTGACCGAAGTTACCGAAGAGAAAACAGATGATGGTTCCAATGCCGGAGAGATTGTCGAACGGAAGAGCCATAGAAGTTCCGTAGTGTGAAGGTATTTCGGCTATTTCAAGTCTGACAAAAACAGAGTAGCGTAAACTGTAAATTGTGCCGAAAGCAAATCTGGAAATACAATAAACTGGTGCATGCGCTACGTCCACACGTACCCGGGTATTTTTGAAAACGCAGATTTTTCTATGCGTTTGCACCTTTCGTCCACACGTAAACGCCGTTTTTGGTCACTGAAAACGAAGATTTTCAAAAACTCCGGCCAGAGTGGATATTTTTGAAAACTCCGTTTTTGCATTTACGTGTGGACTAGAAAAACGGAGAAAATGCAGCGTCAAAGGTGTGCGCATTTCTTGACGTCACACTGTGCGCCACGTTATTGTTTCGGTGAAATGAATTTCTACAATACTGTTAATTCTACTCTCTGCAGTGTTTAAATGCTTACATATACACACAGTTACTGTCCCTCCACACATACGACTCGGTTCTGCTTCTATGCCCCAGCTTTGTTTACTTTTTCCCACCGAGGCTTCTAGATTTCTGATTGGCCAACATTTCTGCACGGTTAGGAATCTAGCGCCACCTGCTGCATTGGCATGTTCATAGCAGCGTTTTCCTTCGTTTCTGCCTTTATGTGTGGACGGGATTATTTTTTAAAACTGTTAGATTATAATATTATTTTATGCCATGTTATACCCCTAATTAAAGATTGTGAATTATTATGTACCGGTAGTTTTAGTTTGCATTATTCTCCTGAATTAGAAGAAGCTGATAACTATTGCATTAGTTAAACTGATTTGCATTACATTAGACTGCTGATTTATTGTGAATGAATGATATTGTTTTATGATGCATTATACTGCTGAGTTATAAGAAATACTGTTCGCAGAAAATTATTGTCTTATTTGTCTGATTAGAAGAGAACAGAATATGCTGGAGTTTTCTGCCCCATCTCAGCAGGAGCAGATGAACAGGGTCGTAGCTTAGGCGCCGTGTGAGAGAAAGAATGTGAATGTTTAGGCTTTTATGATAAGGTGGGGGCCACTAGAGGCTATTTTGAGATCTGAGGCTGTCTGCGTACGGTGTCCATCTCCCACGCGTGTGATCATTAAAATCATCGTTTGACTCAACCCGGCCAGACCAGTGTTGTTATTGTGGTTTCTCATCTTGTCTCCATCCCCAATTTTGAACTCGTAACAGTTTGGGGGCTCGTCCTGTGGTATTGGGGTGGAATTTAAAAGTTTCGACGGTCTGAGGTTGTTGAACGGACAGGCACGAGCCAGTGGTCTGACGTGAGTGGGCATAAGCCGGCTTATACAAAGGTAAGGCACTACCTGTTGAATTATTTCCAAAGTGTGCCAAATTGGATATGACTAAATTAAAGTCTACTCACTGAAATTACTGGTAGAGGGTCTGTTTTGATTTTGATGAAAAAATCTCATGAGAACTGAAACTGAAGTAATGATAATGAAACATTGAAAGTGAAAAGCAGTTGGACTGCTGATTGAAGTTAAAGCAGTTGGACTGCTGAGTGAATTTAGTTTGGTAGGGAATTGGTCATGTTGTTGGTTAAAGTCCAAATTGGTTATAAGTGTGGACCTGTGTGATTATAAGTGAGGGAAGGCTCCATTGACCTCTAGGTTGCACTTGCCTTAGTCAGACTCTTGTTTTAGGGTGTTGGCTGTTGTTTCAAATTATTATAAATTATTATAGAACGGCGGTTGGACCGCTAAGAAGCGCATTGCTCAGAGGTAACGCTTGCCGGGGTTGGGGACGCTCAATGCCCGTCCTCTTTGAGGGATAGTCAGTTGGTCACTGTGGAGCCTGGGGCACTCCAGAATAACTAGTGGTTGGACCACTTTACCGTTTGGAACGGTATTTGTGCTTTTTTGGGCAGCAAAGGTTGGACCTTGGGTGTTGGACACTTTTAAATTGAGTTAGGGACTTTAGAAATTAGGCCAGAGGCTGTTCTGGAGGAAACAGATACTGGTTAATTGATTACAAAAAAGTTAACTTTCTTCGGTTGGACCCGTTAACTTAAATTTGTCAAAATTGTTAGGCGCTGAATCTGTCAGGCCTGTCAGTGTTTGTAAATATAAGACGTCTTTGTAATATAAAATAATAGAGTTTTGCCTGAGCTTTGTGTGACCCTGTGTGTGACGACAGCACACTGCAGCGCTGCGAGCTATTTTTAGACTGTGTGAACATGCAAATGAGCTGTGACGCGCACAGAGGACTTTTGCTTCCTGTTTAGCATGTTTTTGAGTTTTATAATTATGAGTTGCAAACAATGATACACACCTGTAATTAAAACGCTGATTTTGCTGATTATAATATTACTAATAAGGTTTTGAATGACTAGGGTGAATGTTTGATGTTTGGCTGGGTTTTGATATAGAAGAGACAAATCGTGTATGATTAAGAC